CAGTAGCGTTGCAACTGACATGACCTGCTCCCTTCACATCAGAGGTGTAACCGCTGGCGACACGCAGAGAGGATTGCTCCCCCGGCGGGCACGGCCCGCCGGTGGTAGCGGTCACGCCTTTCACCGACGTTTGGGCTGACATTCCAGCCCTGGTTTCTTCCTTTAAACCCTCCAGAATGGTTTCTTCTTCAGGGGTACCACCCACTTGAGTTTTATGCCTTCCGCCAGGCACCTCCACCCATGGCTAACGGCTCACTTCCTTAGGCTTTTTAGGGCAGAAGGAGTTGAACCGCGGCCTTTGCTAGACACTGTATTATTGCGGACGGGGCAAGCAGCAATGCATTACCCGTGTCCGGGCTAATATAGTGCCCATTGCCCAGCCGGCACCCTCGGGGAGGGTTCAGATGGAGGATTTTTGCCAGGCCCTGCATATATAATAACACTAGTCACATAAAAAAAAAAATATAGAATTAACGAGCCAAAAACGCAACTAATTCTGAAAAATCTACCTTGCCAATTCGAAAACAAAAAGTTTCCATCTCCGTATAAAAAAACTAATTCTGTTGACATGTTAGTTTAATTAAGTATTATTTAGTTTTACAAAAAGTAATTTTGTTAATGACTCGCCGCGATGTTGCATCTTTGGTCCGTAAGCATAATTTTAAGAGCCTAAAAAAGGCCCTTTCAACGCTTACTTGTGTTTGTGGCCAGCTGTTAATAGTTTGGATACTGAAATTTCTTTTCCTCCCAATACTCCATAATATTGGAGATCGAGGAAATTGGCTTTGCACTATAGCCATCTTGTAAAAGATAACTATGTACATAAATGTGTTTTTTGAATTCGAATACGGTTACACTGATTTCAAAATGTAAAAAATAATACAATTTCTAATATATACATAAGTTTATTTCTGAAGTTGTTGTCCAAATATTCCGGCATTTATGTACATACATATGTGCAGGCCTTTAATTTATGTTTTAACCCATTTAAGCATAAAGATTTATAATTACACCTGATTGACACATCTTACTCCGATTACTATGCATCAATAATTATAAACATTGGTACTGTAGGGTAGCTTTGCGGTCAATATAAAAGATTATGAAATAATATCGGTGAAAAGTCTAACACGGAACTTGTGAAGTACGGTTGAGTTATATTTTGATAAAAATAACATAAAAATCATCAATAATCATTACATTTAAAATTTATTTTTTGATCAAAAAAATTTTTTATTGAAAATTTTATACGTTCTTACTTAAATTTAATAATTATCTTTAAAAATCAAAATAAATTTTTATTGAAAATTTTATATTTTCTTACTTATATCTAATGATTATCTTTAAAAATAAAATAAGAAATTTTAAACATAAACAAAACCAATTAATTTTTATAATATAACTTATAATGATTACGGTGCCTGATATATACATATACATAGCATATAACATTTACATTTTACCTATACTTACTCAGGCCTGCTCCGGTAATCGAAAACGAAAGATTTTTTTTCGATTTGAAAAACGGGCACCTTTTTTGACCGGAATAAAAAGTAAATGGCTTTTTTATATGAAATCAGATCTTATTTTTAAAAGAAAAAAAATAGTTTACTCAGTGGTCTATTGATGTTTATTCCACTTCACCATAAGATCATTCTGGCAGGTAGTTATTTTATAAAAAAATTATTTTTGACCCCACCTCAGATTTGACAAAAAATTTTTGCCGTGTTCCCCAAGTTTTCTCGTTTTGGCGATAGGTCGATAAGTCCATCGCAAAGAGTTATCGCCAAAGTTGCCATATTGTTGGAGGAACGAAACAGACAGTTAAAAATACTTATAAAATATAAATGAATACATTAACAACTTTAAAGGAGCGCCAAAATGGTTGTTTATAAATAATACTATTTAATTTGATTAATTAAATTATCAAAATTAACCAAATAATTAATTGAGACCACCAGAATTAAAACTGTGAAAAGTGTGGCAGCATTTTAGATGCCTAGATTTGCTTAACTCTAGCATTTTTGGCCTTTTTCTGGCTGAAAAAACGTCAATTGTAAATATAATAGGCAGTACTTTACGTTGTTTGCTTATTACCAAAAACACAAGTTATAGGGTCTTCCCACACACTGGCAAAGCACATTCACCGTCCGTTAAACAAACGGTCCATAAGGTTTTGCCGTTCCGAATTTTCCCAAATGGACCGCCGTTAGATCAACATTAAAATCTAAACACGGTTTTTTTGGCGATAGTTAGGCGACACTTTTTCGATGCAGCTCTGATTCAAATTATTTGACCATTCACCACGAAAATGTAAACAAACTTGACGAGGAACAAATGAGATATGGAATTTAAAACTTGGCGCCAAAGCTACAAGCATGCCCAAAATAGTTGTTGGCGTTTTTATACCCTTGCAGGGTATTATAATTTCAGTCAGAAGTTTGCAACGCAGTGAAGGAGACGTTTCCGACCCTATAAAGTATATATATTATTGATCAGCATCAACAGCCGAGTCGATCTAGCCATGTCCGTCTGTCCGTCCGTCTGTCCGTTTCTACGCAAATTAGTCCCTCAGTTTTAAAGCTATCTGAATGAAACTTTGCATATAGTCTTCTATATACTCTCACTGCTATATGTGTCGGAACGGGCCGGATCGGACGACTATATCATATAGCTGCCATACAAATGTTCGATAAATTTGTAGAAAAAACATTATAACTTTGCTGTTTTTCAATATTTTTGCACCATTTTTTAGATATGGCCGTTTTATATTATTGCTGAATTTTGGTAAAAATTTTATGAAAATCGGACGACTATATGATATAGCTGCCATAGGAACGATCGAGAAATAAATAGAAAAAAAATTATAGCTTCGTTGTTTTTCAACGTATGTTTATCTACTCTGATATATAAGCTTTTTTTATTATTCTAGAATTTTGGTATAAATTTCATAAAAATCGGGCAACTATATCATATAGCTGCCATAGAAGCGATCAGTAAATGTATAAAATATGTAAACCTGGGAATGTAAAACTGTTACTGTCAAACTGTAAACATAATAAGTATAGGTAAAATGTAATGAAACTCTTTTTTGTGAGTGTTTTCAGCATTTAAATCTATACTATGAACATCAAAACCAATCTGCAAGGGTATACAAACTTCGGCGTGCCGAAGTTAGCTTCCTTTCTTGTTTCTGTATATTCTTACCCCAATATGTCCCCAATTGTTACTATTTAATATAAACCGCCTACCTCTACCTTATTTTAAAGATTTTGGATGCCTATACCACCTATAGACACTCTTCGGGGAATTTGCTCTTTGTTAGAGAAAAACTAAAATTCCTTAGTTCATTTAAATTTAGTGCGGAATGTTGAATGTGCTTTGACGTTGTGTGGGAACACGAGTTTCACATTTGTGAAAAATCACAAACGTTCCTCACAAATGTGCTGTGTGGGAAGACAGTATTAGCTGCTAGAGCAGTGAGAAACGATGAGAAAACGAAACATTCCTATAGCAAAAATTGGCCGAAAACCGGAGCAGCTAAAAACGAAAACGGTTCGTTTTTGCCCAAAACGAAAACGAAAAAATTTTACAATTACCGGGGCAGGATTAAATATAAAATGTCCATATCTCAAAAACGATGCAAAAATTTTGATAAACAGCCAAATTGTAATTTTTTTCTTAAAATTTATCGAACATTTATATCAAGAATATATATACTTTATAGGGTCTCCACTGCGTTGCAAACATCTGACTGAAATTATAATACCCTGCAAGGGTATAAAAATTATCATTATTTACGGTTCCTGATATATATAAAAGTTTTATACTCAGGCCTGCTCCGGTAATCGAAAACGGCAAGATTTTTTCGTTTTCGTTTTTGAAAAGGAGAAATTGGTGCTCCGGTAATCGAACACTAAAGATTTTTTCGATTTGAAAAACGGGCACCTTTTTCTGGACGGAATGAAAAGTAAATGGCTTATATGAAATCAGATCTTATTTACAAAAGGAAAAAAATAGTTTACTCAGTGGTCTATTGATGTTTATTCCACACCACCACAAGATCATTCTGGCACGTAGTTATTTATTAAAAAATTTATTTCTGACCCCACCTCAGATTTAACAACAAAATTTTTGCCGTGTTCAACCAGTTTTCTCGTTTCGGCGATAGGTCGATAAGTTCACCGCAAAAAGTTATCGCCAAGGTTGCCATATTGTTGGTGGAACGAAACAGCCAGTTAAAAATACTTATAAAATATAAATGAATACATTAATAACTTTAAAGGACCGCCAAAATGGTTGTTTATAATGAATGATATTTAATGTAATTACTTAAATGGTCCAAATTAACCAAATAATTATTTGAGACCACCGGAATTAAAACTGTGAAAAATGTGGCAGCATCTTAGATGCCTAGATTTGCTTAACTCTAGCATTTTTGGCCTTTTTCGGTTCGTTTTCGCCCAAAACGACATCGAAAAAATTTTACAATTATCGGAGCAGGCCTGACTTTCTTTTATTTTTTTAAAATTTATTTAACCAAAATGGCTCGATTCTTAATGATTCAATTGCAATCTGCAAGGGTATACAAATTTCGGCGTGCCGAAGTTAGCTTCCGTTTCTTTTTCTATTAATTTGACCAGAATGAATCGATTCTTAATGATCCAATTGCAAACTGCAATTTATATATAATATTCTTAATTTAGAAATATTCCAAAACAAGAAAGAAAGCTGGGAATGTAAAACTGTAACTGTCAAACTGTAAACATAATAAGTATAGGTAAACTGTAATGAAACTCTGTTTTGTGTGTGTTTTCAGCATTATAATTTATAATATAAATATCAAAACCAATCTGCAAGGGTATAAAAACTTCGGCTTGCCGAAGTTAGCTTTCTTTTTTGTTGAATTGGCATGAAACTTAAGTAACAAATAAACTAATTTTTTTAAAACATATAAAATATTTTTATATATAATAATATTAAAGTAAATTTTTAGAATTAAAAAGAATGTCGGAAAAAAGGCGAATCGCACCAAAGAAAAAATCACTTACCACAAGCTTTTTTGATATTGGCAAAAAAGATGATCAGAGTAAGTAAAGTATCTTTCTCCCTTTGTTATACAATAAATACATTATTCGAATATAATCTTTTATTGACAAAGTCGGGCGAGAAATGGAACTGTTTGGAGTATCATTGGAATTGTGCTTGGCAAGGGACACTAAGCGTAATGTTTATTCGGAAAATGAGAATCATTCAAAGCGTTCCTTAATGTCAATGTTTCGTGGAAGCCGTAGTAATCCCGGAAGTGTTATCAAGCTAAGCGATAATGTAAGTTTGTCTAATTTTTATTATCGCGAATGTAAGCTATTTTCGTGAAGCAAATGTTTCTAAACCCGTACAATATTTATTTTATATTAATTTTATACCCTTGCAGGGTATTATAATTTCAGTCAGAAGTTTGCAACGCAGTGAAGGAGACCTTTCCGACCCTATAAAGTATATATATTATTGATCAGCATCAACAGCCGAGTCGATCTAGCCATGTCCGTCTGTCCGTTTCTACGCAAACTAGTCCCTCAGTATTAAAGCTATCTGAATGAAACTTTGCATAAAGTCTTCTATATACTCTCACTGCTATATATGTCGAAACGGGCCGGATCGGACGACTATATCATATAGCTGCCATACAAATGTTCGATATATCTTATAGCTGCAATAGGAACGATCGGGAAATTAATAGAAAATAATTATAACTTCGTTGTTTTTCAACCTATTTTTATCTTCTCTGAGATATAAGCTTATTTTATTAGTTCAAAATGTTGGTATAAATTTCATGAAAATCCGACAACTATATCATATAGCTGCCATATAAACCGATCGGCAGAAGTAGAGAAAATGTAAAACTGGGAATGTAAACCTGTAACTTTCAAACTCTCAACATAATAAGTATAGGTAAAATTTAATGAAATAATATCTGCAAGGGTAAACAACCCTAAAGAATTTTCAGAATTTGGGGTTAAATTTTATGAAAATATATATATCTATATCTTATAGCTGCCATAGGAACGATCGGGAAATTAGTAGAAAAAAAAATTATAAGTTCGTTGTTTCATCTACTTTGAGATATAGGCTTATTTTATTATCTGAATTTTGGTATACATTTTATGAAAATCGGACAACTATATCACATAGCTGCCATAGAAGCGGTCGGTAGATGTAGAGATAATGTAAAGCTGGGAATATAAAACTGTTACTGTCAAACTGTAAACAATAAGTACAGGTAACATGTATTGAAACTCTGTTTTGTGAGTGTTTTTAGTATTTAAATTTATAATATAAATATCAAAACCAAATTATTATATGCTAAGTATAAATATACAACTTTTATATATATTCTTTTATTTTTTTCGAATTATTTAACCAGAATGGCTCGATTCTTAATGATCCAATTGCAATCTGCAAGGGTATACAAACTTCGGCGTGCCGAAGTTAGCTTCCGTTCTTGTTTTTTTTTCTTAAATAGCAAAAATTGGGTTTCAGGAAAAGCAATTTAACTTGCGAAAGTAAGGTCCCTCATTGGTTGTTCTTTTTAACCCTAGACGGTCATGCTTCGTCGATTCGACAACAACAACATTATTGCAAATCCGCCGCCGCTGTTTCGTATTTGAGAGGGACTATTTAAGGGTTGTCAGCGTACAAAAAAATATGCGGTGGAATATGTTTCACGTTAATTTTAAACACTCGTTGTACTAATTGGTCTTTTATTACAAGAACTATTATTAACCTATGCTAAAAAAATAGTTTTGTTCAAAATATCTCCAAAATTATTGTACAAAACTGTGCGTGATGTGAAGGGTATTTTTTTCCTTGACCTCAGCAACTCTTTTATGAGCTGGAAAAAAGGCACCAAGGGGAAATTTTACAAAAGGTCCCTAAATCAACAAGGAAAATTCGCTTATGTTAAAGGGAAATCCGCAAATGTTATCAAATTCACTTCCGAGTGGAAACTAGAAAAGGCCTGTATACTTATTTTAAAATTGGCGTGGTCGATTCGACGAAGCATAACCTTAACTTAGGAAAAATAAGCACGACTGTCTAGGGTTAATATGAAAGTAGACAGAGAAAGGTTTAATTAAGCTCAATATCATTTATGGTATGCCAGCGGTTTTCAATTTTGACCGTGATTTTCTCGAAATTGATACATGATGGAGACTTTTCGTTTTCGAATTAGCAATGTACAGACTAAGATTTTTCAGAATTCGTCGCGCTTTATCTCTGATTTTTTTTCTCGACCTGTGTATCATAATTACTCAAAAAACGGAATATATATATTTTTAATTATATATTTTTTAGGTACGATCTTGTGAAAGTTTACCTACCAAGTCGTTGGAAAATGGGCCTTTGGAAAACTGCGAGCGATTCTGCGACCCTCTTAAAGCAGAGCAATCAGAACATAACTATAATAGACCCTATCAAGATCTTAAGGTGCCCATATTTGTTTACAGCTGTATCGAGCATTTAGAAGAAAATGGATTGCAGAAGGTCGGACTTTTTCGTGTAAGCTCATCTAAAAAGCGTATCAAGCAGGTATGTCTTCCTTCCTCTAAAATACTTTCACTATTTTTCAATTTTTACTGTAGTTGCGAGAAGAATTCGATAACGGTAATGGATATTTGAGAATTCCTGTCAATACATGTCCACACGATGTTGCCACCCTGCTTAAAGAATTTCTTAGAGATCTTCCCGAACCTCTTTTGTGCACGACGCTATATTCAACCTTCCTAGAAACCCAACGTGCGTAAAAACAAATTAAGTGTTTTATATGTTATAATTAAACAAGGAAAGAAGCCAGCTAGGGAAAGGCCAATTTTATAGTTATACCTTTGCAGTTTGCAGTTGGATCGATTCAATTGAGATGTATAAAATATTTATATATAAAAACAACAACCCCAACTACAATTCATCCATTGTACTAAGAAAATGTACATAAATAGGTCACACAGACGACACAATAGTCAGCTTTTGACCCCAAAAAGTAAAAAAAAAAGAATTATTTGTTAATGCTATTATCTAAATATATTGGACCTTTTATAGTTTCCAATTCCACAAACTCCCACCGACTCAGATTTGATAACATTTGCGAATTTCTCGTTATCCTAATAAGGGGATGATCAAATTTTACCCCGCTGTAGTTTCTAATTCATAGCTAGTAATTGTGCACTAATTAAATTTATAATATGTATACGATAATAATATATATTATAGGATAGAATTTTCAAGGTTGTGGAAAAAGGTCCCTTCGCATATAGTAATGTTTAGTTCAGCTTCTAGATTAATTTGGCTGGTGTTTTAAATAAAAACACTTTTTATAAACTTTAAGCTAATAGCTCTTTTAATGATCTTTAAATTTTTCTACAACCTCAGCCACTCTATTCTCCAGCATTTTGCCACCAGCACAGCTGACTGCAATTAAAAATATGTCATTACTAGCGAATCTCAGAAAAAGCTTACCCATTTGTTAAGAGCGGCCAACTTAAATTATTTGGGCATTTATCGGAAATTAAACAAAAGTGAAAGGGAAATCCGCAAATGTTATCAAATTCAAATATTTCTGGGGGAACATGTACATCCTAATATATTGTTAAAAATTTTATGAAAATCTGATGAATATATTATACTGCAAGAGCTACTGTATGGTATGCGAATCTGAGAAAATTATATCAGAAGTTTGGTCTTAAAATATGTATATACAATCTATACACCCCATTAAGGTTTTTGATTCCCAGTTCGATCCAATTGCCATCTGTAAGAGTGTCCAAGCTCAGGCTTCTCCAATTCAGCTACCATTCCCGGTTAATAATAATAACAAATTGAAATTTGCAGGTATACGAAATCGACGTTTGCAACTCGAGGCTATATCACATTTAATAAGACTACTTCCGATTCCCCATAGAGACACGCTTTATGTCCTACTCGTATTTCTTGCCAAAGTGGCAGCACACAGCGACGATGTATGCGATGCTGATGGAAATTGTTTAATAAATGGCAATAAAATGGATAGCAGTAATCTGGCAACAGTCTTTGCTCCGAATATTTTGCGCAACACAACATTAGCGTTAGATAAAACAAGAGAGCAACAGCAGATGAGCGATGCAATTAATGTAGTCAGGTATGTTTATTTTATGTAAGTTGCGCAGTTTTTTTTTTTTACATTTTGTAGATTTTTTATACCCTTGCATGGTAGGAGAATTTTAGGCAGAAGCTTGCAACGCAGTGAATATATATATAAATTTTTGATTAGCATCAACAGTAGAGTCGATTTAGCCATGTCCGTCTGTCCGTCTGTATGTCCGTTTCTACGCAAACTATCTGCAATGTTTCAACCAGACAGCTTGAGAACTGAGAGACTAGTTTTGAAGCTATCTGGATGAAACATTGCAGATAGTCTTCTGAATACTCTCACTGCTATATAATAGGGTTTTCCCACACACCGTCAAAGCGCATCCACCGTCCGTTAAACAAACGGTCCATAAGGTTTTGCCGTTCCGAATTTTCTCAAATGGACCGGAATCAAAGCGCATCTAAATCTAACGACCGTTTGTTTGGTGATGGTTAGGCGATAGTTTTTCGATGCAACTCTGATTTATTCTTCTTAACAGTGTAAATTTGACCAACACTACAAAAATGTAAACAAACTTGGCGAGGAACAAATGAAATATGGAATTTAAAATGTGGCGGTAAATGCTCCATTTCAATTTTGCAAAAGCCAATTCGACAGCCTTTGTTTACGTTTTCATGAGCCACAGCTGATCGATCAGCAGGATGCAGATGCACTTTAACGCAGCTTTGTGGGAACACGAGTTTCGCATCTGCGAAAAATCCCAACCGTTCCTCACAGATGCGCTGTGTGGGAAGACAGTATAAGTCGGAATGGGCCAGATCGAACGACTATATCATATATATAGATGCCATACAAATGATCGACAAATTTTTAGAAAAAATTATAACGCGTTTGTTTTTCAATATATTTTCAATATTTTTGAGATGTGGTCATTTTTTATTATTTCAGAATTTTGGTTTTAATTTTATGAAAATCGGACGTCTATATCTTATAGCTGACATAGGACCGATTAAAAAAAAATAATAGAAAAAAAATTATAACTTCGTTGTGTATCAACGTATTTTTATATTTTAGAAGTTTGGTATAAATTTTATGAAAATCTGACAGCTATATCATATAGCTACCATAGAAGCGATATGTAGCTATACAGAAAATGTAATGCTGGGAATGTGTAACTGTAACTGTCAAACTGTAAAAATAATAATTATAGGTAAAAGTAATGAAACTCTGTTTTGTGTGTGTTTTCAGCATTTAAATTTATAATATAAATATCAAAACCAAATTATGATATGCTATGTATAAATATACAACTTTTATATATTTTCTTATATATATTTTTTTCTATTAATTTAACTAGATTGGCTCGATTCCAATTGCAATCTGCAAGGGCGTGCCGAAGTTAGCTTCCTTTCTTGTTATATTCTTAAAATCTAACTACTACAGCAACTTTAGGCCTTAAGCTACTTTAAACGAAATGTTTTAAAATATACTTAATAAAATTTGGCATAACTTTGTTATAGTTTTTCTGCGAATTTGTTTTTGTTATCTCTTATAAATATTTGTAAAGTTCTGCAGGACTTGAGGTCTCAGTCAGCTTGGATTTAATAAAAATCAAAGGGACTTTGGTCAAAAACAACCAATTTGCAATAGTTATGGGGCTATGACATTGTAATGCAGTTTTCATTAATTTTCATTAATTAGCTTGAAACTTTGAAAGAGACAACTACAATATATGCTTTTGCTTGGATTATTTTGGTAACACGACTATGCAAGTGGTCTGCTGATTTCGGTAGCGCCAATGAAACGATCGTAACCACAGCTGCTACTTCTCTATTGACAAGTTCATTTTCTTGTTTTTGACCAAAGTCGCGCCTTTGATTTTAATTAAATTTAATTACTGCGCTTAGCTTGTTTCTTCTGTCTAATTTCATTATTTTTATACCCTTGCAGGGTATTATAATTTTAGTCAGAAGTTTGCAACTCAGTGAAGGAGACATTTCCGACCCTATAAAGTATATATATTCTTGATCAGCATCAACAGCCGAGTCGATCTAGCCATGTCCGTCTGTCCGTCTGTCCGTCTGTCTGTCTGTCCGTCTGTCTGTCTGTCCGTCTGTCTGTCTGTTTCTACGCAAACTAGTCCCTCAGTTTTAAAGCTATCTGAATGAAACTTTGCATATAGTCTTCTACTCTCACTGCTATATATGTCGGAAAGGCCGGATCGGACGACTATATCATATAGCTGCCATACAAATGTTCGAGAAATTTTTAGAAAAAAAATTATAACTTTGCTGTTTTTCAACATTTTTGCACCATTTTTTAGATATTGTCATTTAAAATTATTTCTAAATTTAAATCTATAATATAAACATCAAAACCAATCTGCAAGGGTATACAAAATTCGGTGTGCCGAAGTTAGCTTCCTTTCTTGTTATCAAATCAAGTAGAAATCCACTTGATCAACATGACCGGGAAACCCAAAAGACAATGTTTTTTCAACAGTAACTGATGATTCACCGAATCAAAGGCTTTGCTGAAATCTGTAAAGATAACATCGGTTTGGGTGTTATTTTTAAACGCGTTTCTAATGACTCAAGGAGATTTGTAGACGTTGATCTGCGTTTCATAAAGCCGTGCTGTGAGGGGGACATTCATTATTGAGCTACATTGGTGCTGAAGCTGAGTAGTGATTCGCACTAAGTATTGCTATACCTATATAGTGTTTAATATTAGATTTACTGTTCTTTTTATGAAGGGGAATGATAAAGGATTCTTTCCAAACTTCGGGGGAAAACGAATACTGAAGTGATAACTGAAAATGTCTAAAGAGTGGTCTACATAACGCGGTAGCACAATTTCTCAGAACTGAGCTAGGTACAAGATCTGAACCAAAGGAGAAGGATTGCGGGCATAAAAATGCAATTGGACGCGAAAAATTGCTTTGGATTAGCCTGAAAACCAATTTTGCACCGATTTAAGTAATTTCTGTAGCATTCAGAATTGTGTGTAAAAAAATTTAAACAAGCAATTAAATATCTCGAATGGTCGACTTGAAGACCAGTTGTACTATACTTCTTAGAGAGTCTGGATTTCAAATTTTTTAGATAAGAAAAGCATCAACAGACGAGCCGATATAGTCATGACCGTCTGTCTGTCTATCCACCTTTTCGTTTCTACGCAAGCTAGTTCCTCAGTTTTGAAGCTAGTCATTCAGTTTTAAAACTATCTGAATGAAACTGTGCAAAAAGTCTTCTGACTAATTTTACTACTTTTTATACCCTTGCAGGGTATTATAATTTCAGTCAGAAGTTTGCAACGCAGTGAAGGAGACGTTTCCGACCCTATAAAGTATATATATTCTTGATCAGCATCAACAGCCGAGTCGATCTAGACGTCCGTCTGTCTGTCTGTCCGTCTGCCTGTCTGTCTGTCTGTTTCTACGCAAACTAGTCCCTCAGTTTTAAAGCTATCTGAATGAAACTTTGCATATAGTCTTCTATATGCTCTCTCTATATATGTCGGAACGGGCCGGATCGGACGACTATATCATATAGCTGCCATACAAATGTTCGATATATTTTTAGAAAAAAAATTATAACTTTGCTGTTTTTCAACATTTTTGCACCATTTTTTAGATATTGCCGTTTTATATTATTCCAGATTTTTTGTAAAAATTTTATGAAAATCGGACGACTATATGATATAGCTGCCATAGGAACGATCGAGAAATAAATAGGAAAAAAATTATAGCTTCGTTGTTTTTCAACGTATGTTTATCTACTCTGAGATATAAGCTTTTTTTATTATTCTAGAATTTTGGTATAAATTTCATAAAAATCGGACAACTATATCTTATAGCTACCATAGAAGCGATCGGTAAATGTATAAATTATATAAAGTTGGGAATGTAAAACTGTAACTGTCAAACTGTAAACATAATAAGTATAGGTAAAATGTAATGAAACTATGTTTTGTGAGCGTTTTCAGCATTTAAATCTATAATATAAACATCGAAACCAATCTGCAAGGGTATACAAACTTCGGCGTGCCGAAGTTAGCTTCCTTTCTTGTTTTTTTTTTTTTTTTGGTCAAAAAAAAAAAATAATGAAGTTTTATTAGACCAGTGCACCGTTACCTAAATATTTTGCAACTAAAGTAAATTCTATGTTTACAATGCTGAGTTATGGAGGAGTATTAAGTTAAGTTATGTTTACATAATTTGAAACGCTTTTCATGTTTTGTCTGATATGTTATGTCCAGACCCGGTCAGGGAAGTCTTGAAGGTGGTGACGCTTGAGTCTTCTTCTAACTCGTGTTCTATGTTCAGAGGTGGCTAAGCTTCTTGCCAGACTTTTAGGGTGATTGTTTAGTTTTTCCGTATATTTTGTTGAAATAGTGTGAAGATTGTCGCCAAGTTTGGGCACCTTCTGGTCTCGTTCTATGTCACTAGTCCGTATGTACCAAGGAGCCCCAGAGATCCCCCTTAACGTTTTTGCTTGAAGAATCCTAATCTTGTTCAAATGACATCTTGCAGGAATTCCATAAATTTGAAGGCCATAAAACAGGGAGGGGGCTAGAATTGACTTATATATCATGACCTTGGAGTAAAGCGATAGTTTGTTGCAGGATGCAAGGAGCCATGCCATCCGGGAAACCTTAGCCGTAAAAGCATGCTGAATATTCGCAACATGCCTGCCGAATGTAAGTTTACGGTCCAAGGTAACGCCAAGATATTTATAGGCTCTATGGTGGCCAATGACTCTACCATTAAGACTGACCCCAGGACAGCTAGCTGCACGGTTGGTGAAAGTCACATTCGCACATTTGTCCGCATTGATGCACACATTCCAGTTCACAGCCCATTCCTGAAAGGCATCAAGATATTCCTGCAAACCAAAGGAAGCAGCCAAAATACTTTTACTTTTACATCTACTTCCGCAACTTCAGTGACTGGTGAGTGACTAGGCATGTCCGAAGCAAAGACCGAATAGAGAGTAGGTCCTAGAACACTTCCTTGCGGAACTCCAGCTTCAATGACACTTGATTTATACCCATCAGCCGATACGTGTAATGTGCGATCATGCAGAAAACTTTTCACATCCAGGTACAGTTGAGGCGGAAAGAGTCGCTTCGCTTTGTACAGCAGCTCAGGGTGCCAGACTCTGTCAAATGCCTGTTGAATGTCCAGGAAGGCAGCTACAGCATGCTCCTTCTTCTCCAAGGCTTCTAAGGCTAAGTTAACCACTCTATACAGGTGCTCAGGAGTACCGTGCTGCAGATGGAAACCAAATTGAAATTTTGGGATCGCACTGGAAACTTCCTCGCAAGAGAGCAGCCTGTTTAGAACCAGCCTCTCCATAATTTTACCCAGAGATGGGAGACGGCTGATAGGCCTGAATGAATCCACATCTGACGGCGGTTTTCCAGGCTTGAGAACTAATCATGGTTTTCAAACTTTCGGAAAGTATCCAACTTCTAAAACGCCGTTGAAAACAGACACCGGGGTTTTTTTTGGGAGACAACTTGGCTACCAGAACTTTCACTTCTTGCAAAGAGACAGCGCTAGCAGGAAGGCACATTTGAAACGGCGACTCCAAATACTCTTCCACTTGAAGACACAAACTATCAGGGGCATAATCAAAGGGCTTATAACGTTTCTCAAGGTTATCCGCAAATACTTCAACTATTTCTAAGCTAGTGCGACACCAGCCCCCAGCCTGATTTCTGATTGCTGACTTTGGGGAGGACTGAGTTTTGAATCGTTTCGTGACACGCCAAAGAGAGTAATTTGCACTCATATCAGGACCCAGGTCTTCCAAAAAGTTGTCTATTTGAGTCTGTTTTCTACGAGCAAGAACCTTATGCAAGCGATTGGCAAGTCTTCTGTGGATCTGTTGTATACGAGGATCTCCTGTTCTAGCATATTCACTACGAACTCTTCGTTTAAGTCTAAGCAGCGCTTAAATTCTGGGAGGCAGTTGGGGAGGTCTAGGGCCCACTACTCCATGTCGATTTCTGGGGGCAGCAAGCTGGCAGCCTCAGATAATTTTGTCATAAAAAGATGTTGATGTTAGCATTATGGGCAAGTAGTCGTGGGCGATGAGGTTTCCACAACGGCGTGGAGTAGAGTTCAGGCAAGATAGGTACGTGATCCGACGAGACTTCATGTAGAGTATGCACGTGAAGTCTGCCTGAAGCAAATCCATTGGCAACGAAAAAGTCAAGCGCTGATGGAATTAATAGGGAATTGTAGGAGTAGAACGTAGGTTCGCCCGTAGCCAGAACCTGGTAATGCCCATTTGTGATGACTTCTTGCAAGCGTTTACCTCTAGTACTTTTACTTTTTTTTAGGACAATGATTGATCACTATGAGGAAATGTTTAAAATACCAGCAGAACTGCTAGATGTTCTTTATTCTCAAATGCTAGATGTATGTCCCGTTAAGTTGTATGAACTGATTTCCACAAAAACACAGCTTTTGAAATGGTAAGGATATTTAGTATGGTAAGGATATTATTATAATATACTAATCACTTATTTATAGGAATATGCATAACCATTTAGACGATATCCAAAATTGCAGTGAAGCAGCGAGTTTATCAGACGATGTTTTTGAAAATACCCCCCATGAAAGTCATCGGTTTGTATTATTGTTAATAATTACTATATAAAGACTAATAAGAATATAATGCAGATTAAACCATAGCAATCAAATACATGAAAACATAACACCCAAAAGTAAATATACCAATTATCGAGAAGAACTATGTGCTAATAAAAATTTACAAGGAGATAAGGATAGAGTTTTGACCGCAAGTTTAAAAATATCATTACCGGAAAAAATAAAATCCTTTGGAAATGGTGGTAAATATATACCTATAATTACTATAAATTCAAGTAATTAATCATTTCTTGTTTCTGTGTTCGATTTCCACTATATAGAAAACAGTAAAAAAACGCCCTTGAAAGATGTTGATAATTCTGAGCCACAAATTTCCAATAATTTGGTAGCAGAAAAACGAAAAGGAAAGCTACACAAGCGACAACATTTAATACCAAGTTCCATTCGGCTAAATAATAATTAAAAATTAATTGATTTTATTTTTGAGTCCACTTACACCAAAGTGTAATACCTTACTAACGTTAAAACTACCATTTAATAAGTATTATGTGCAGGCTAAGATATATAATTTTCATATATACAATTTATTTAAATAAATTTTGCAATACCTACTGAAACCATATGGGGAGATACACACCTCTTAAACCTATTTTTACAAATTAAAGACGGAACAAAAAAAATTAAATAAATTCGTTAAATTTAAATAAATCGTTTAATATTTCTTTAGAGTCGGAATATACTGGAGGAAGACTACTGTATCAGAAAGAAAAAATCATGCCCGACCCTATTTTATTAATATACTACTAATACTTACTTGCTAATTCTATTTCCACTACTTTATTACATTTTACACTTACTTTATGGGGTATAAAAATGTTCTTTTATTGGAGTACAAACTTATGATCAAAACATATTACCTTGTAATGGGATAAATATACATAAATGTAACGTCCGCTTATTATAATCGGTACATAAAGTCGCACACATTTTTAAAATATATTTGTACATACATAAATACTAATAATATAAATTTGAAATGACTGAAACTTTTATACTCTTCAAGTTGTATTGTTGTAATAATAAAAATAAGATATATTCATATGTATGTTTATAATTTTTATTGTTTATTAAATATCAAATATCGCTAAATTGAATTTTTTAAATTATATAAATCATCTAAAAAACATTAAAAAAGAACTGATATAAAGAACTGGAGTCTTTTATACCCAGTTATTACAATACAAGTATTCTTTTAAATGGGTCACATAATTGACAAGCGTTGGGGGACACCTACATACATACATATGTACATTTAAATCTAAGTACTGTAAACGCCAAGTAATATGAACGTCCCTGGCAAACACACGATGTTTGGTCCATTAATATCTAGCGAGAGCTGTGCCCGCATAACTAAACATGCAAATGCTTTTATAGGGGCTCGGACCCTCTTTCTAAATCATTATTAAATTAAATTGTTTGCACAAAATGTCAACGCAAGTGGGATAGTCCCCTTTAAATTTAAGCTGCGTGTATATGTGTGCGTGTGTATGTGTATAAACATAGCTTATATCACAGAGGGGAATTACCTTAACTGAAAGACACAATAAGCATATTCAGTTAGATGTTTGCTTTTGACCTGACAAGGTGACGACTCTTGTACTCTTTGATTTCTCGTCAACTTTAACGTAAAACGAGAACGAGGACGAGACAAATTCAAATAAACAGAGAGTCCTGGGACTCGGCGTTCCTATATTATTAGTAAATATTACTAAGTGAAAAAATGTACAGTACCAGCGATGCTGACGGTGGAGGTGGAGATGTGCGTAAAAGCGAAATTGAAATGTGCCAACACTTGGATCCTACCATTTCCCAGTCTAATCCACAAAAGACTTCGGACAAGTCAAAGCAGGTTTGTAATTGCTCATATTATCATACAACTTTAGTCGGACTTTTTTGACATAAAAAAAAAAACAAGAAAGAAGCTAACTTCGGCATGCCGAAGTTTGTGTACCCTTGCAGCTTGCAATTGGATCCATAAAAATTGATTCGATTTTGTCAAATGAAAAGAAAAAACTAACAAGTGATAAATGCAAAATATTCATATTTATCAATAGCATATAACAAATAGCATATATGTTATTTTATACAATTTCATTCACATATTATATTTACAGTTTTACAGTTACAGTTTTCATTCAAAGCTTTAAATTTTTCCTACGTCTACTGAGATTTCATATGGTAACTATATGATATAGTCGTCCAATTTACATAAAATTGAAACCAAAAATGTGACATAATCCAAAAGTGCTATATAATAAATGAAAATGTTAAAAAATATCAAAGTTATAATTTTTATTTCCTAAAATTTTCGATTGTTTCTATGGCAGCTATATGATATAGTCGTCCGGTCCGGCTTTTGATGCTGATCAAGAGTGTATACAGATAGTTTTTACGCTCGGAAATGACTCCTTTACTGCCTTGCAAAGTTCTGATTAAAATTATAATACCCTGCAAGTATATAACAAAAAAGGAAGGCACGCCGAAGTTTGAAGTTTGCAATTGGATCATTAATACAAAAACTAGCAGGAAATATATAATAGTTGTAAATTTATACATAGCATATAAATATTTGATATTGATCAATAATTTTAATAAAATTAAAAAAAAAAAGTTTAATCGTATAAAATAATTATATTATAGATTTGAAATATCTAATATAAAAAACATTTATATATATATATATATATATATATATATATATGTAGATATACACATATATATATACCGATTAACAGTTACGGAAACGAAAATTCTTAAACAAATAAAAAAGGCTCATAATCTTAGAGTAGATAAAAATACGTTGAAAACAATGAAGCTATAACTTTTTCTATTAATTTTCCGATCGTTCGTATGGCAGCTATATAATATAGTCGTCCGATTCAGCGCGTTCCGACATACATATATAGTATCAGAAACATTCAGAAGACTATGGGCAAAGTTTCATTCAGATTCAAATTAGAGGTTTACGCCGATGGTTAAAGGCATCGGCGGCGGCGTAGAGGTCAAAATGACTCGGCGGCGGCGGCGTAGTAGTCAGAAAGAACCGGCGGCGGCGGCGCGTCAAATAAGGCAAAAAGGCCATTTTAATGAGTTATTTATTTTTTTTTAAGTTTTATAAAGAACAATGACACTGAAGGCCGCGCTGAAGCTGCGCCGATGCCGCACCAGCGGCGCGCCGCGGCGCGCCGTTATTTTCATAATTTGGCGGCGGCGCGTCAAATAAGGCAAAAATCGGCGGCGGCGGCGGCGTGGCGCGGCGGCGTATATGTCTAATTCAAATGTAGTTGCATTAAAAAATGGTCTCTGGATTCGCAGAAATTTTGCGATTGAATTGGTCGACTTGGTTTTTTGCGCAGTGCGAATTACTTGAATTTTGTAACTATCTTACATTTTTATTTTTATTTTTAATGCATACAAATATCGGTGCGCAATTTTGGAAATGCCCATACCCTTTCATTTTTTTTATCTTATCATTTTGTTACTCAATCCTTTTCTGTGTAAAAATTTCAGATGGTTCAAATTGATATACCGGAGCGTGGATCTTGGTCTTCAAAAATGGATTTCATACTCTCTGTAGTTGGACTAGCAATTGGCTTGGGAAATGTGTGGCGCTTTCCGTATTTGTGCTATAAAAATGGTGGCGGCGCCTTTATTTTGCCATATATATTGACTTTGTTTTTGGCCGGAATACCTATGTTTTTTATGGAGTTGGCATTAGGTCAGATGCTGACCATCGGTGGCTTGGGTGTATTCAAAATTGCGCCAATATTTAAAGGTAAGATTTTAAAGACTTAAAAAAATGGGTAAGAATATTTTTGTATTGATATTTATGTTATAGTTTAATCAAATTTCATTGGATTATTATACCCTTAGACATATGTTACTCTAAGAGAAATATATTTTTCTGCTCAGAATCAACATCCGAGTTGTCAGTATGTCCGTTTCTACGCAAAATATCTAGTATCTAATTTTCATATAGTTTTTAGCTATTTTCTTAAAGGGACCTGAGATAAAAAGGGATACCGTTGTTGTTTTTCAATGTTTACCTTAACCATTCATAGTCGATCAAAGTCGATTAAAACTATGTTTCTTATTAATCTATTTAATTGTGTTATATTTTTCATTTAAGGAATTGGATATGCTGCTGCCGTCATGTCCTGTTGGATGAATGTATATTACATTGTCATTCTGGCCTGGGCAGTATTTTATTTCTTTATGTCCATGAAATCGGGTATGTTTTTGCAAGAGACAAAAATTGGTTCTGAATAATTAATATTCCTAAAATCTCTATAAGTAAAAGATTCTTCAGAATCGTCCAACAAGAAAGGAAGTTAATTTCGTCTCGTCGATGTTTGTATACCCTTGCAGTTTGCAAGTATATAAACATAAGCAAAGCAATAACAACTGTTGCCTTTCTAGTCGGAATGGGCTGGAGGACTATTGATATATCGATAGAGGTAGGATCGGTGGGACCAGGGGGGCACGGATTTGAATGGAGCGAACCGGGAAACTAAGAGAAAGGGTTTTTATCCTTGCACTCGGCCGTTGCCCTCGGGCAACGGATGGAGCCTATATAGGTAGGCAGATGGCAGGAAAGACAAAGAATTAGCGAGACGAAGCGGTTAGCAGCAGTAAAAGAAGCTGTGAGTTGAAAAAAAATAAAAACGTGAAAAACGTGATGTAATACTAAAACCAAATTATTTTTAATAACAGGAAGTTTCCATCCAGCGGTGAATATAGCGCTGCCCAGGCAAGCTTCATAGAATCTATATAGAATTCATTAGTAAAACTTTTGTGTTCTTTGTTATATAAGCCTATTTTGTCACTTTAATCCCAAATATTAAAAAAAAAAAAAAAAACTACGCCAAACGTATTTTTTGCCAAAGCAGTCAGATCCTCTTTTGGTACTCTAAATACCTCTGCAACGCCGAAACTTAAGGAAAAGGTATGAAGAAAACAGCAAAAGATGTTAAATAACAGCGAAGTTATAATTTGTTCCATTAATTTCCAGACCGCTCCAATGACAGCTGTACTATATAGTAGTCCGTTAAAGATCAACTTGCCTCTTTATGCTGATCATGAATATATATATACCCTATAAGGTCGAAAATTACTCTTTCACTGCGTTGCAAACTTCTGACTTTAATTATATTACCCTGCATGGGAGTAACGATAATAGGATAAAAATTGACACTACTCTCTATACTATTATCGAAATAAGCTTATTCTGTTTTAAACTCCGACGCTCGTTTTTATCATTTTAAAACTTTAAAAATTCCTAAATATTACTCTTAATTACATGTTTAAACAATACACAGTATTTTTTAGTACAGTTATTTTTACGGTTTAAAATATAAATGCTTGTTTTTTTTTACTAACTCTTCGTTACATAAAATTGGTGAAAGTCATGCAAGCGTTAGGATCGAACGGCAAACAGCAAGGGTATACAAAGTTTGGCTTACAAAAATTAGCCTTTTGTGTCGTTTTATAAAATACTTATAATTTTACTGGTATATGTATTGTTAATTATTTAGATGTCCCGTGGCGATCTTGCAACAATTGGTGGAATACCGTCAACTGTGTCAGTCAATACGAACGAAAAAATCTAAATTGTTGGGATAAAATAATTAATGGAACAGCAAAAAAAGTCTGCTCTGTAGCTGCTACAAACATTACATCATCTGAGCTTACGGATCCAGTTAAAGAGTTTTGGGAGTAAGTAGCACTACAATATTTGTTTAACATTTACTATTTATAATATATTGCTAGTATTTCTGTCGAAAGCAACGTAGAATATTGTATATTATTTAAACGCGAAAGAGTACTTACTACACCCAAAAAATCAAAAATGATTTTAGTCATTTTGACAGCAGTAAAAATAATTTGTTTTTTTTTTCAGACGACGCGCTCTTCAAATATCGCATGGCATTGAAGAAATTGGTAATATTCGTTGGGAATTGGCCGGAACTTTGCTGCTTGTTTGGATTCTATGCTATTTCTGCATCTGGAAGGGTGTCAAGTGGACGGGGAAAGTCGTATATTTCACAGCTCTATTTCCTTACGTTCTGCTGACAGTTTTACTGATTCGGGGCATAACCTTGCCTGGTGCTTTCGAGGGTATCAAGTTTTATGTGATACCTAACTTCACCAAGTTGGGTCACTCGGAGGTTAGTACACATATAAAATTCCTGCAGTAAATCCAATAAGTTTTGCACTAAAATTGCCCCAACCCATAATCTTGGATTGATATTACTGTTAACTACAGTATAACGACGTAATGCGTTCCGTCATATGACTGCTCTATAGTAAATCAAACCACGAATTTGCAGTAAAAATGACCCAGTCTAAAAAGTGAACCAGTATTTTACAGTTTTACTGTATAAAAACTAAAGGTTGGCCCACGATTGCAATATAGAGTACAGATGCCGTTAAATACCTTAAATTACCACCCAAATAAATCCCGAAATTCTTTTTAAAATAAACTAAAATATGTAATCCCAACTTGACCGAGCTTAATTAATTCTTAACATTCTTAGTTAAATTAAATTTTTATTTTTCTTTAACTTTTTGTTAACATATTTTTTATTTAATCTGTAATTATAGAGCTAACAAGAAAGGAAGCTAACTTCGGCACGCCGAAGTTTGTATACCCTTGCAGATTGGTTTCGATGTTTATATTATAGATTTAAATGCTGAAAACACTCACAAAACAGAGTTTCATTACATTTTACTTATACTTATTATGTCTACAGTTACAGTTTTACATTCCCAGTTTTACATTTTCTCTACATCTACCGATCGGTTTATATGGCAGCTATATGATATAGTTGTCAGATTTTTATGAAATTTATTCAATAATTCTAGAATAATAAAAAAAGCTTATATCTCAGAGTAGATAAACATACGTTGAAAAACAACGAAACTATAATTTTTTTCCTATTTATTTCTCGACCGTTCCTATCGCAGCTATATCATATAGTCGTCCGATTTTCATAAAATTTTAACCAAAATTCTGAAATAATATAAAATGGCCATATCTAAAAAATGGTGCAAAAATGTTGAAAAACAGCAAAGTTATAATTTTTTTCTACAAATATATCGAACATTTGTATGGCAGCTATATGATATAGTCGTCCGATCCGGCCCGTTCCGACATATATAGCAGTGAAAGCATACAGAAGACTATATGCAAAGTTTCATTCAGATAGCTTTAAAACTGAGGGACTAGTTTGCGTAGAAACAGACAGACGGACAGACAGACAGACAGACAGACAGACAGACAGACAGACAGACAGACAGACGGACAGACGGACAGACGGACAGACGGACATGGTTAGATCGACTCGGCTGTTGATGCTGATCAAGAATATATATACTTTATAGGGTCGGAAACGTCTCCTTCACTGCGTTGCAAACTTCTGACTGAAATTATAATACCCTGCAAGGGTATAAAAATGCTTATTAAATCACTTAAATTAGTATATAAATCTTAGATTAGCAGACCGTCTGCTTACCAACTGGGCTACTAAAGCAAATTAAACACTAATGTCGGTAACGTGAATACAAACGATTCCAGAGAGAATGAGAGCATAATAAAATGTATATATTTCTCCCCTTTCTAAACTAAAAACATAACTTTTAGGAATGGCTTGCAACGCCAACTTGAATTTTTTTTATCAGTGTACACGAGACCAAACTAGAACAAGAAATACCTAAAAACTTAAACGATACTGTACGTTTTACAGTATCTTGACATGCAGCTGATAGTAATTTACAGTCCCTAAAGTCAACAACAAAATACACAAATAACTTCGAACGTAATACTGTCTTCCCACTCAGCGCATTTGTGAGGAACGGTTGGGATTTTTCACAAATGCTAAACTCGTGTTCCCACAGAGCTGCGTTAATGTGCATCCGCATCCAATAACAGCTGATCGATCAGCTGTGGCTCATTAAAACGTAAACAAAGATGGCTGAAGCGGCCGATGTGGGAGTAAAATGAATAGATTATCAACTATTTAGGCTGTTTAACAACAGCAAAAGCACTAACTTAAAATGAATTAGATGACGATTAATTTGAGTTTCTCTAATGATTTTTCTCTAACAAAGAGCAAATTCCCCGAAGAGTGTGTATAGGTGGTAAGGCTTCCCAAATCTATAACATAAAGTAGAGGTAGGCATTTTATATTAATTAGTAGCAATTGGGAACACTTGGGGGAAAGAATATAAAAAAAAACGCCAACAACTTTTGGGCATGCTTGTAGCTTTTTGCGCCACATTTTAAATTCCATATTTCATTTGTTCCTCGCCAAGTTTGTTTACATTTTCGTAGTATTGGTCAAATTTTTCAATTTGAAAACACGGTCAACATTTTTTCAAGGTCTGGATTGATGCTGTCACCCAAATATTTTTCTCCTATGGACTGGGACTTGGTACTCTGGTGGCCTTGGGAAGTTACAACAAATTTACAAATAATGTTTACAAGTAGGTTGGTTTCAATGGATTATAGGGATAAATATACTATTCATAAATCTTTTTTCAGAGACGCCCTAATAGTCTGTACAGTTAATTCAAGTACAAGCATGTTTGCTGGATTTGTAATATTTTCAGTCATTGGATTTATGGCTCACGAACAGCAGCGACCAGTGGCTGAAGTGGCAGCATCAGGTGCGCATAAAAAATAAACATTATTTTTAAAAACTTTTCAAATACCATAAAATATTTTATTTAGGTCCTGGGCTTGCTTTCTTGGTCTATCCATCAGCGGTTTTACAGTTACCGGGGTCTCCCATGTGGTCTTGTTTGTTCTTTTTCATGCTGCTACTTATCGGTTTGGACTCACAATTTTGTACAATGGAGGGATTTATAACCGCAATAATTGATGAATGGCCACAATTATTGCGAAAACGAAAAGAAATATTTATTGCCGTTGTCTGTGCGCTGAGTTACTTGGTTGGATTAACCTGTATTACTCAAGTAAGTTTGGATATCAACAGATATATTGCACTTAATATTATATTAAAACCAGAAGGGAAGCTAACTTCGGCACTCCGAAGTTTATATACCCTTGCAGTTTGCAATTGGATCATTAACAAGAAAGGAAGCTAACTTCGGCACGCCGAAGTTTGTATACCCTTGCAGATTGGTTTCGATGTTTATATTATAGATTTAAATGCTGAAAACACTCACAAAACAGAGTTTCATTACATTTTACCCATACTTATTATGTTTACAGTTTGACAGTTACAGTTTTACATTCCCAGTTTTACATTTTCTCTACATCTACCGATCGGTTTATATGGCAGCTATATGATATAGTTGTCCGATTTTTATGAAATTTATACCATAATTCTAGAATAATAAAAAAAGATTATATCTCAGAGTAGATAAACATACGTTGAAAAACAACGAAACTATAATTTTTTTTCCTATTTATTTCTCGACCGTTCCTATGGCAGCTATATGATATAGTCGTCCGATCCGGCCCGTTCCGACATATATAGCAGTGAGAGCATATAGAAGACTATATGCAAAGTTTCATTCAGATAGCTTTAAAACTGAGAGACTAGTTTGCGTAGAAACGGACAGACGGACGGACGGACAGACGGACAGACGGACATGGCTAGATCGACTCGGCTGTTGATACTGATCAAGAATATATATACTTTATAGGGTCGGAAAGGTCTCCTTCACTGCGTTGCAAACTTCTGACTGAAATTATAATACCCTGCAAGGGTATAAAAATCGACCTTTCTGGTCAAACTTATAGACAAAATAAAAGGAAATATATATAAGTTGTATATTATACATACCATTAAATAATTTTGTTTTGATAAAATTAACAAAAAACAAGAAAGGAAGCTAACTTCGGCACGCCGAAGTTTGTATACCCTTGCAGATATTATTTCATTAAATTTTACCTATACTTATTGTTTAGAATTTGACAGTTACAGTTTTACATTCCCAGTTTTACATTTTCTCTACATCTACCGATTGGTTTATATGGCAGCTATATGATATAGTTGTCCGATTTTCATAAAATGTATACCAAAATTCTGAACTAATAAAATAAGCTTATATCTCAGAGTAGATAAAAATAGGTTGAAAAACAACGAAGTTATATGTTTTTTCTATTAATTTCCCGATCGTTCCTATGACAGCTATATGATATAGTCGTCCGATTTTCATAAAATTATTACCGAAATTCTGAAATAATATAAAACGGCATCTAAGAAATGGTGCAAAAATGTTGAAAAACAGCAAAGTTATAATTTTTTTCTAAAAATTTATCGATCATTTTTATGGGAGCTATATGATATAGTCGTCCGATCCGGCCCGTTCCGACATATATAGCAGTGAGAGTATATAGAAGGCTATATGCAAAGTTTCATTCAGATAGCTTTAAAACTGAGAGACTAGTTTGCGTAGAAACGGACAGACGGACAGACGGACGGACAGACGGACAGACGGACATGGCTAGATCGACTCGGCTGTTGATGCTGATCAAGAATATATATACTTTATAGGGTCGGAAAGGTCACCTTCACTGCGTTGCAAACTTTTGACTGAAATTATAATACCCTGCAAGGATATAAAAAAAAGTTTAATCGTATAAGATACATTTTAGATTTAAATATCTAATATAATATAACATTATAAATTTAAATGATTAAACACATACAACAAATTTCATTACAGTTACAGTTTTGAATTCGCAGCTTTACATTTTCTCTACATCTACGGATCGCTTCTATGGCAGCTATATGATATAGTTGTCCGATTTTAATAATATTGTTACCAAAATTCTGAAATAATACTAAAAGCTCATGTCTCAAAGTAGATTAAAATATGTTGAAAAACAACGAAGTTATAATTTTTTTTCAATTCATTTCCCGATCGTTCATATGGCTGCTATAAGATATAGTGGTCCGATTTTCATAAAATTTTTACCAAAATTCTGGAATAATATAAAATGGCTAGTTTGCGTAGAAACGGACAGACGGACATGGCTAGATCGACTCGGCTGTTGATGCTGATCAAGAATATATATACTTTAAAGGGTCGGAAACGTCTCCTTCACTGCGTTGCAAACTTCTGACTGAAATTATAATACCCTGCAAGGGTATAAAAAAACTGTGTGAAAAAAGGAAGAAGAAGAAAATTATGCCTTGTCGATTTTGCCGGTACTCTGACGACGAAAATCAAAATATTCCATATGATGAATACCGATGTTTCGCACATAATCCGCCAAGTTATTACATTGTTTTATATATCTGTCATCGCGGCTATAACTATGCTATAACAGTGCATTTTGGTTTGATGTAAAAAATTGTATAGTCCGGTGTGGTTTTCTGAAAATTAGTCTAATCGTTTAATTACGCTGAACAGCTGATCGATCTGCTGTAATCGGATGCAGAAGCAAGCTCTGTGGCAGCATGACTTTCACATTTGTGAAAAATCCCAACTGTTCCACATAAATGCACAGAGTGGGAAGGCAGTATTCGACTATGGACATTTGCTGAACTGGGCCGAAGGCCTAAGATGCTAAGGCTCTTAAATAAGATAAAATAATTTTTAACTTTAGATTATAGCACTAACCATACAAAATGTTGTATGGTTAGTGATTATAGACAGGCACGCAATGGCTCAGTTCTGGACGGATCGGAACTGTCTCCTTCTCAGCGTTACAAACTTCTGACTAAAATTGATCAATTTTATTTATATCCATAAAAATATCCATTTCCCTTCAAATAAAAAAAAACAAAATTCTTTGCACACAGCGTATCCCACAATCGTCACACTAGACTGTACCGATATTACTAATTTTATTTTCTTTAAGCCCTTACTTCGAAAATTTAATTTTATTTGACTCAAATTTGGTTCTTTTATTTCTTCTAGGGCGGCATGTATATATTCCAAATTTTGGATTCATATGCTGTTAGCGGCTTTTGCTTGCTTTGGCTCATATTTTTTGAATGCGTTTCTATATCGTGGTGTTATGGGGTGGATCGTTTCTATGATGGTATCAAGGATATGATTGGTTACTATCCAACAGTTTGGTGGAAGTTCTGTTGGTGTGTCACCACACCAGCTATATGTGTGGTAGGTATTTTTTGGATAATCTATAAAGTACATACATATATTTTATTTCTTCTGTATAGGGCGTATTTTTCTTTAATATTGTACAATGGACGCCTATAAAGTACTTGGACTATAGCTATCCATGGTGGGCGCATGCCTTTGGTTGGTTCACAGCGTTGTCATCTATGCTCTATATACCAGTTTATATGTTTTGGTTATGGAAACGTACACCTGGTGATCTAAGTGAGGTAATATATCCATAGAAATATATTTGTGCCATTATTTATTTATTAATTGTCATCATTAATTTCATCATAGAAAATCCGTGCTATTGTACGGATAGATGAAGATGTCTCACGTTTACGAGAGAAAATGCAAAGAGAAGCTTATGCCAAGGAGGCTGATTTCTCTTTATAAATATTTATTAATCCTAAGCTAAGCTAAACTTATATAAATTATTTAAATTACTAATTCGTTTAGCATTTTATTTTCATGTTTATTATAAATTGGTCAATTTAAGTAAAATTGCGTTGTCTTCTTGATATTGTTGGAATCAAGTTTTTCTTTTTTTGATCTAAAAAAACCTTTTAACTAGTCTAAATGAAGAGAGTTTTAGGTGTTTTTTTATGGAGTACTTACTCAAAAAGTAGAACAACGTTTACACCATATCTAAAGTGATAAGAATATTCTGTTAGTAAACAAATTATCCCCATCATATTGTCATACATTCATCATACGTTCTTAACTGACAAGAGTCCTGTTTTCATCCATTAGTTTAGGTTAAATACAAATTAAATAAGAAATTAAAACATGTACCGAATCCTAAAAATTAATAATATAAGTAAGTCTTGGAGTTTATTTAGTTATTTAATAAACTTTTGTAATAACTTAAAATAAACGATAGAAGAATAAGAAACACAGTTCTAATGTAATATAAAAATATGTCTTTATATTACATATGTTATACATAATATACTTATAGAGTTTCTGAGCAGAGAGAGCTTCTCTAATGTTATCATAAAAATGTCCCATTGTTGCTTTGTTGTGTCAAATAAAATAAGAATATGAAACTGAATTTTAATTATGACAGGGAAATAAACTTATCACGTTGTTCTCCTTACAAAAGAAACATTATGCCCAATAATGAAACTACCAACATTAACAACAAGAAATTATGATGCATGTTCACCTACTACCCTTCACATATAAAGAGTACAGACTGAGATTTCACTGTGAGATGTATAACTTGTAAAACGTAAATTGATTACGATAACATCCCATTGATGGTCAGTCGCCCAAGATGTCTTAAGAAAAATTTAAACGATTCGTAATATGAACGATTCGGATCGATCGTTCCTATGACAGCTATATAATATCAGACTTATATACTAGTGTTAGATGTCAGAAAACTATTTGCAAAGTTTCATCAAGATAGCTTTAAAACTGTTAGACTAGTTTGCATAGAAACCGTTAGACAAACGGATGTGGCTAGATCGAGTCGGCTTTAAATGCTGATCAAGAATATGTATAGATTATATGGTCAGAAATGTCTCTTTCACTTTGTCGCAAACTTCTGACTAAAATCAGAAAACCTGCAATGAAAGAAAGCTAACTTCAGTACGCCAAAGTTGGTTTACCTTTAATGAATTTTGGGATTAGATATGGACTTTTAAATTTTGTAAAATTATAGGCAAGTATTTAAATTAAATTCAGCAGTATTATTAACCTTCTAAAAACGAACTTAAAGTAGCTTTCTGAATTAAATTTAATGCATTTTTATTTATTGACGCCGCACAGTAGCGCCTTTTCTCATTTAGCGTTGCAAAAATCATATCATTTGCACCAAATAAGGTAATCGAATAATTTAAGCGGCATTGGACAGGTAATTGTTGTAAAATGTATATATGTACTGCATAATGTACCACGCCCACAAATTCCTCTTTTTAAAGGTTTTCAAAGTGAAAAAAAAATTTTATTTTAATGAAAAACAAAAAAAAAATTTTTTTTTAAGTTTTTATGGTTTTCGTGTAATATTACCGGAAAGTTGACCAATTTACCAATTTTTGTTGTATGATGCAAAAAACGAAAGAAAGAAAGTTGAACTTTAAATGCTCATATCTTCTAGAAAAAAATCGTAAAATAGATTTTATTGCAGATTCTGAATTCTTGGACAATTTTCTATCGAATAAGTATAGTTAAAATCGTTTTTGCGAACATGACTTTTGCAACGCTAATTGTTTGAGAGGCGCTACTGTGCGTCGTCTCGTTCGTGTTCTGGTCAGCCTTCTGGCCAGCTTATGCGTCTGGCGGTGTTCTGCAGCTTAGCCCTTGTCTGCTTTACGTGGGAGGCAAACGTCAGCCTCTTGTCCAGAGCCAGTCCCAGGTAGGTGTGCTCCATGTGTTGTGGCAATAGCTGTCTGTGAAGAAAGACACCTGGACAGGTGCCTCTCCTCAGGGTATACGTGACCACCGCACACTTATCTGTGTTGATGGCCACGTTTCATCTACAGGACCATTTCTCAAACGTCTTCAGGAGCATCTGAAGTTTGTCTGTGGCGCTGTAGACGCAGCTGGATTTTGCCAGCATTGCAGTATCGTCTGCATAGGTGGCAACACATGTGCGCTCCGAGCTCAGGTGCAGCGGCGCATCGTGCGCGAAGAGGATGTACAGCGTTGGGCCAAGCACGCTTTCTTCTGGTGGTGGAAACAACTCCATCCTGGACCACTACCTTCTATCCGTGAGGTAGATGCGAATAGCCTCGTAGAGCTGTGATGACAGAAGCTCTTTGACCTTGGATAGGAGTCCCTTCTATTCCCTTCTGAGTCTATGCTTTTCTCGATGAGTGCCTTTATGTCCGGTGGTAGAGAAGGGCGGGTGACTGTGGAGTGATTGCTGTTGGAGGGCGCTGCGAGTTCCGCTGCAACCTTGATTTTTCCCTACATCCTACGACCTTGGAGTCCTTTGAGTAGTGCAAAATCCAGAGCAGAGGGGTTCTGCCGTTGCAGGGAATGCACGTGGGTCTCCCTGAGACCAAGATTTGTGTGTTTGTGCTTTCCAGGGCCTCCACTAGCGATGCACCTCGTCTGTCTGCTCTGTAGTTGCCCCAGTTGCGGTGCTTGGCGTTAAAGTCTCCACCTAGGATGGCTTTATCTCCACAGAGGTTGAGTAGAGCTTCAAAGCCATCACGGGACCAGGTGGAACGAGGGGGCAGCAGCTTGCTGCTATGTCCAGGTCTCCAATGGGAGAGTTCAATGTAACCATCGCCACCTGTGCTATCTCCAGACGTATCGGGTTGTGCTGATAATAAGTCAGTCCTCTTCTGACTAGGATCGCTGCTCCGCCTCTAGTTGACCTACTACGAAAGTCTGCTCTGTGTAGGGAGTACCCTGGGATCCTGATGAATACCCCGTGCTTAAGGTAGGTCTCAGACACAAGCATAATGTCGATGCTGTGCCTTGAGAGGTACACCAGGAGCTTCTCCCGGTTGGCAAGGAAACTCCTGGCATTCCAAATACTCACCTTAAGGGTACCCATGAGTCTTAGGCATACCTCTTTGCAGTTCTCTCACCACCAGAGATATCGTGGCTAAGGAGCTTGGCACCTGCTCTACTGTAGCCTTGAGGCTGGAGAGCATAGCCACAACCCTTGACATATCCCAGTAAGGGTCAGTGTTGGGTACTGAGGAGCGTTGCCAGACCTGCCTCGGCTTCCTAGCGCTGGGAAATCGTCGTGCAGGTTTTAGGTTGCCTGCCTGAATCCAGGTAGAGTGTTGTAGACGCCCATAGGCGTAGGTGGTTGGTGCTGCTGGGTTCTCGTCCTTCAGGCGTATGACATCCCTGGCTGGAGCATGGCCGGCTGCGGGCATCCCTCGCTGGATAACTTCTCCTCAGAGGCACCTTAGGGAGAATTCCCTTGAGTTTCAGGGCGAAAATGCGACATTTTTTTTCGTAAGCCGCATGATTGTCTCTACAGTTGGCACAGCAGAGGTTGGCAATGGTGGCAGCCTTGCAGGTCTCCGAACCCGTCCAGTGCTGCTCCGAACATATACTACAAACTGGCGGCTTTAGGCAGTAGTTTTTTGTGTGGTAGAAGCCAAAGCACCTGTAGCACTGCTTCAACCTGTTGCTGTCGTTCTTGAGCTCCACAGGCACTCGGTGTCTGCCAATCTTGGTAATCTTGTTATTGGGAGCCTGCTTGAGGTCAACGAACCAGACGTTCTGCTTGGTCTGGTCCTTGGGTTCCTCCTGACCCTCTTGGTGCCGAACTCGGGACGGGGGGTTGTACAGGGTAACAACCGTGTGCCCCTGCTTGAAGAACTCCTGGGTAATAAAGTTCTGCGGGGTTGTGCTAGCCAGATTTTTAACAAAAAACCTGAAGCTTCTGTCTTCCTTCAGGTAGAAATGTGTGTATACCACATTTTTGGAGGACAGGTATCTTGTGACGGCACGGTGAGTGGTGGAGTCCTTGGCGTATATTTGCAAGTCTCCTGATCGAGCAGTGCGGAGCTCAAATTCATCCTCTTCGATCTCCTGGAGGAGCGCCTTTTCCATCGCCTCAACATTATTTACATTGGGGACAGTAATCGGCCTCGGATTGGCGGTGGGTTTGGCAGCTGGCTGAGTGGCTGTATCCCTCTGCTCTGTTTCAGAAGTGTCCTCCTCATCAGAATCATCCTCGCAGTCCATGTCCAGCGTGAGGTCGATGTGTTCAAGTGGGGCAAATTTATTTGCCGATTGTGGCCTACTGGCTTTGGCCTTAGTAGCCGCATCAGCAGAAGCTGGGGTACGTCTTTTGTTGTTCGCCCTCCTCTGGACAGTCTGCCAGCTCGTCTGGGGGTGGAGCTTGTCGTCGTCGTCACCGTTGCTGGTCTCCCAAGATGGAACATAATTTCTATTTGGGGTTGCGGGGTCTGGGATGCCGATCTGTTGCTCTCCAGGGCGTTGATTATTGCTCCCCATTTTTTAATTAATTAAAAATTGTGTGGAGCAGTACACAAAATGGAGTAATGAGTTCAGTTTAATTTTCTCACAGAAATTATACGAATCGTCAAAATGATGGTTTTTAACTTTTTTGGCACTTATTTAGGCTTTACGTTAATATTTAAATTGAAATTAAAAATTTGGCGGTTAAATTAATTTATTGACTGTGACCGATCTGGCAACCTCAATATTTAAATGGCGACACCAGTATTGCCAGACTAATATTTAAATTTAAATTCAAAATTTGGCGGTTAAAATAATTTATAGTATTTTTAAATCGTGATATATTATAATCGATATATTTGAAGAAGAACCTTAAGCCTAGTACTCTGACGAGAAAAACCCGCTGTATAAATTAGACAGCGGAATCGCTGTTTATTTCGCTACCGAGCTAGTGTGACCAAAAAAAATTAAGGAAAATCCGGAAATGCCATGAAAATGTACTTTTTATGGCGTTTAAGGATTTTCTGTGGTCACACTGGACAGCTGTTTGTAAACAAATATTCAAAAAAATATTAAAAATATTAATAAATATGGCATTAAAATGTCCTTTGTGGGTTAAATTCCATATTATGGGCTTCCCCTTGACAGCCCCTATCAATGCCACCTTTTTCCTTCAACTTTCCCTCCATTAGGGGTGTCTAAATAAATCAAATGAATTATTTAGACAGCGCGATATCAGCTGTTTACTATCTTGATCTGGCAACGCCATTCAATTTTCGCAGGCTTCATTTTCGTCGTCAGAGTACCGAAAAAAACGACGTGTCTAAAAGTTCTTCTTCTTTTTTTTCGACACCGTTGTTTTTTATATGGAGTTTGGCCGCTGTCTAAATTTATACAGCGGATTTTTCTCGTCAGAGTACTAGGCTTTAACATTTAAATTGAAATTAAAAATTTGTCGGTTAAATTAATTTATTGACTGTAACCGATCTGGCAACCTCAATATTTAAATGGCGACACCAGTATTGCCAGACTAATATTTAAATTTAAATTCAAAATTTGGCGGTTAAAATAATTTATAGTATTTTTACATCCTGATATATTATTATCGATATATTTGAAGAAGTACCTTAACATTTAAATTTAAATTCAAAA